CACGAGGCGCGGGTGCGGGGCTCGGCACGGGCGGCTCGGGTGAGCACTAGGGCTCAATATAAAATGTCCAAAGCTCGACTTTGGTATTCTAACACACTTAGAAAAATATTCTAAGTATTAAAATATCAACTCTCAATTTTTGACTTAGGAAAATATACTCGGAACGACAACTAGGGTTCGTGTCCGGTAATTTCTCGAATTGACTTACTATTATATAATAACCCAAATTAATGGATTAACCTTAACTTATACTTGAGATAGAATTATTCAAAGAATAATTTATCATGTTTGAGTATTTAGCATAAATAATATAACTCGATAATTTCTGAAAATTACGGATTTCACTTATAGTCGAGCAGTGAAACCGTTCTGAATATCATTACTGTTTTGGGGCGTTACAACCTATCCTCCTTAAAATATTTTCGCCCTCGGAAATACAAAACTAAGGTTCTAGGCCAGAACTCCTACTACATAACTATATACATCAAAACATAAAAATAGAAAGTACATATATGCACAACTGAAAAATTTCAAAACTCGAAATCTGGATAACGAGCTCTGATCTCGGCCTCTCTCTCCCAAGTGGCTTCCGACTCGTCGTGGCGACTCCAGCAAACTTTGACGAGCTCTATATCTCTATTCCTCAGCCGACGGACCTTTCGGTCCAGAACTGCTATCGGCCGCTCATCATATGTCAGGTTCTGCCCGACCTCTAGCCCGTCAAAGTTCACTATGTGACTCGGGTCGTACACGTACTTCCTCAACATCGACACATGGAAGACGTTGTGTACACCCGAGAGCTCTGGGGGTAATGCCAGACGATAGGCGGTGACACTAACTCGTTCGAGAATCTCAAAGGCCCCTATGAATCGGGGCTGCAGCTTCCCCCTCTTCCCGAAACGGACAACGCCCTTCATTGGCGTTACCTTCAGGAACACTTTATCTCCCTGCTCGAACTCAAGCTCCCTTCTACGCTTGTTAGCGTAGGCCTTCTGTCGGCTCTGAGCCTCTCTCAATCTCTGTCGAATCTCGGCGACCTTCTGCACTGTGTCCTCGA